CTTTCCCTTGTAAATTGTGGCAGCTTTGCCAACCCAACCAGCAAAAATAAATAATATCCTGATGCTGCAAGCTGCACTGACACTGCTCGATGGTCTTATGCTTGTCCTGAGAGCTTCAAGCCTATGGGTTGAAGCTGCTGCCCATCAGCAGAAACACCAAGGTGGTTGTCCAGCACAGTTGGAAATCAATGGCCAGCATCTGGTAGTGGTAGGAGTTGGTTGATGATGCTGCTGTTGCCACCAGGCCTGCCAGCCCTCCAAATGCATTTGGGAGCACAAAAAAAAGTCATGCAGGTCTGAGTATCAGCTTGTGTTTGTCCTTTCCCCTTTGCTTTCCCTTACCCGCAGCCAAAAGTCATTTCACTGTCAACCACAGGATCACTGATTGCTTTTTCTTCCAAACCCATTTGTCCTCACCTGCAGAACAAGCAGTGCTCCTGCACGGGATGTCCCCAGTGCTTTTAATCTCCAAAATGCCTCCCTAGGTGAATCAAGTTGATATTGGAGAGTGCAGGAGCAGGGGGAGAGCTGCCCACCCATAGTCATTGCTATTCATTCCTCACCGTCATGCTGGAGAATGAGGAAAAACTGGAGGGTTTTGAGGTTGCAGCCTGGAAACGAGGAGTTAAAGGAAAGGTGAAATATTAAGTGGAAGCAAAGAGGCACCTGAGAAGGGCAGAGTCCCAGGAAAGCTTTTCTGGGGATGAAAAAAAACCTGTCACCTGGAAGAGCTCCAGCTGCCCGGCATGTCCTCTGCTCCCCAGCGCCCAGCCTGTGGTGACAGGGACACCGAAGGGCATGAAACCAGGATGCTGATGGGGACAAGAGGCCGGTTGCAGGTTGCAAAGGGGCTGGGCTGCTCCAGTGAAGAGGTTGGTATTTGGGTTTGGTGGGGGAAGAAGTAGAGATGTGTTGCAACATGTGAGCCCATCTCATTGAGCTTGCTGCTCCGAGTGCTGGCTGTGGAGGCAGCTAAAGAGCAGAGTTAAATAATAATTATAATATTAAAGAGGTTTTTGGGGGGTTTTTTTGACTCACAAAGTTTACCAGCCCAAGCATCCCAGCAGAGAGAGATGCTGGGATGCAGGAGGCTGCAGCCCTGACACATCTTTGGTGGGCTGGTCCTCTTAGGAAAGGAAGAGGTGGCCCCAGGGTGGGTGAAAGGCTGGACCGTGGCATTTTTAGCACAGGGAGAGGGTGCATCATCCACCCTCCATCAGCAGAAGCCATGTGCTATGGCTAATGAGCAAAGCTCAGAGGCAGGGTTGATTTACGCAGCCTCCCAAGGTCTCCTACCATGGATGGATGCCACTGACCTTCACAGGAAGCCCTTGAAGGCAGAAACACGAGGCCTACAGGCAGTGATCGAGAGAAGTAATAAATACTTTTGGGAGCACTTTGAGAGAACATTAACCTGAGCTCTCCTAAACCACCCTGAGCAGCAAGGCATGAACGGTGATACCATGGGCTGCTCCAGCACCATCTCGTATCTCCAAGCACTTCAAGCACATCCATGACCTTGTGCTCATGACTTGGCACTTCAAGTGCATCCGTGACCTTGTGCTCATGACTTGGCACTTCAAACGCATCCATGACCTTGTGCTCATGACTTGCTGTCACCAAGGAGGCAGGTCCAGGAGGGTTTTGTCCATCTGGGAGCTGTTTTTGTCTGTCTGGGGCTGACAGATGACGTATGACAAGTCGTTTCTCTAATGGCTGGAGGGGAAGAAAATGCAATTACCCAAAGTAGGCTTTTGGCAGGACATGGAGGTAGCAGAGTGAGGCTGGTGAAACCTGAAGAAAAAGGGGATGAAAGATCAGCTGCTCACATCCAGGGCCCTGCTTTGCTTTGGTTGCCTCCTCAGAGACGTCGTTTGTGCAGTAATTAGCGATGTAAAACATGTGTCGGCCTCTTTGTTCCCATTAGGCTCAGCTACGGCTCGAAATGATGCGCAACAGTAGCCCGTGGTTAATTTTACCAAATGTTCACTTTAATTTCATTTCAGACCAGCTGTCTATAAATCTATAGCACCTATTTACATCGCCTGCATAGAAATATATGTACATTAGTCCGTGCTGAGGGTAAGGGAATGGATAACAAAGCACTCACCCTGGGGTGATGTGTGCAGTCAAGCCTGAAGGCTCAATCTTGGCTTGATGCCGATGGGGATGACCTTTGGGTGATCAAACCTCCCTGTTGTGTTCCTCCACCCTAAAAATCCCTCGTGTGTTGCGTGTCCAGGTCAATATTAAACAGAGTGTAAAGCAGCTTCTTCTGGGACAGCGCGCAGGTGGGAGCCTGCGCTGAGCTGTGCTTTATTTGCATCCCAGCACGCACGCCCATGTTTAAATACCTCTAAGCAAACAAGTCCACCCAGCTCCTGCTTTGCTCTTCTTTATGTCTTCAAGACTGGGTTTACTGGTAGTATCCAAGGGCAATGTGTCTCCTTCCTTAATGGTTTGTTGCCTGCTTGATGGTGGGTATGGGAAACATTGCCTTGGTAGCGTTGATCCCATGTTACGTGGTCCAATGTAGGCTGGTGGCTTCTTCTACCAGCTTTCACCATGATGTCACATCTGAGCCACCACTGTTGCGTTAGACCACAGCATGGATCCCTCAAACTTGTGTTTGTGCTGTCCCTCCTTCTGGCAACACCAGGACGGCTGCGAGGAGGCTGCCACGGGGCGATGGGAAGGGCTGCAGCTCCTTGGTTCCGAAGCGTGGTGAGATGTGGTCAGCCAGGAAGCGTATATGAAAGTGCCGGCCGACACAGTGGACCAGGCTGCCCACCACGGCACAGTGGAAGATGGATGGGTCAGGCATGGCATAGGTGGCACACTCGTACCATAGCTTGGCCTTGGCTCCACAGCGGTAGACGCTGATGCCCATGTTACGGTGGAGATCAAAGCGGTAGATGAAACCATTGGTGCTCACCATCTCAGTTGTCCTGTCCTTGCCACCGCTGACCAGGCTGACCCTCCAGCTGTCCGAGCGGGCAGCGTAACACAGCAGAACATAGCGCAAGGTCCCCCCTGTCACATAGATCTCCCCGTCGCACACTGTGGCAGTGTGGGCCACAGCGAAGGTGTCATGAGGTAGGGGGGCAGTGAAGGTCCAGCGGTCCTGCCGGGGGTCATAGCGCTCCACTGTGTAGAGACACTCACCACCAATGGCATAGAGGTGACCATCCAAGGCCACAAGCTTGCAGTGGGGCCGTGCTTGGTTCAGGGGGCAGATCTCCCTCCAGATGTTGGTCAGAGGGTCGTAGCAGAAGACACGGTTGGAAGGTCTCTGCATCCGGCCCGTGCCCTTGCAGCCGGCCACCACAAAGAGGTAGTTGAACATACTGCACATAGCACACCCTTGGGAGACCACCTCTGGTGGCACATGGCAGAGGTGACTCCAGCAGTCCCCTCCATCATCGTAGTAGCAGAGGTGGCTGGTGTGGAGGCCGGGCTCGTGCACGTTGATGTCTGCCATGGCCATGTACATCTTCCCCTTCATCCTCTGCTGCAGGATGAGCTCCCGCTCGCTGGCGTTGAGATGGCTGTAGATGGAAGGTGTCCTCAGCACCTGCAGGTAGTTGTCACTCATCACCTTGTAGGCGGCCTCCTGAAGGTGACCCAGCTTCTGCGCCTTGGCCATGCAGAGGATCTCGTAGCAGTTCCCCAGGTCCACGTGGGTGGGTGGTGGCATTTGGAAGAGGTTGGTACCAGCCACCAGCCCTGGCTGAGGGCTTGCTGGTGGTGTGCCAGCTGATGCCATGACTCCAAAACCCTCCATGGGCAGCTGGAGGTGGGGGCTGTCGGCGATTCGGAGGATGCTCTCCTTGCGACCAGGAGCTGGTGGCTTGGGGGAGATCTCCAAGCTCCCTGTAGTTGATGGGACTATGGAGGAAGTGGTGGGATCCCGTATTGTCAAAGTCTGGTCCATCTCCTGGGTTACAAAGCCCTGCAGCTCTTTGAGCCTCTCTGAGCTGCAGTGCTGGGATGTTCCCGGAGGGATGTAGGGGGGAGACCTTTTCTTCAACACCGACTGGGAGATGGACTGGACGTAGTAGTCGTAGACTTTGCCTTTGAGGCCATGGGATGGTTGCCTGTCCCCCTCCTTCACCCGCCGCTCAGTGATGTAGTTCTCCTCCACCTGGATCTTTGCAACCGAGGAGAAAGAGTAGGTGGAGTCCGACCCCACGTTGCTGCTCGTCATTGTCAGCCCCAGGTTTGAGGTGACGCTGAGGGTCTGGATCTTCACCCCACGCCCCTCAGCCTCCTTCTCTGTGCTTTGGGCACGTCCATCACCTGCTGTCTGGGCATCAGCAACCCTGGGGGAAAGCCTGGTGTCTGGGGCAAGCCTGCCCTCCTCCTCCTCGCAGCTGCTTGGTGCTTCGGACACGTCCCCAGGGTTGTAAGAGCTCAGCTTGCTTCCTGGCTTGCTTCCCAGCTCACTTCCTTGCTCGCTTCCCAGATCACTTCCCAACTCAATTCCTGGCTCTATTCCTGACTTGTTTCCCATCTCACTTCCCCTCCTGGCCACCCCCCATCTTCTACAAGTCAGCCCTACTTCAGAAACCATCTCCTCTCCTTCCTCCTCCTCACCCCTTGGCAGATTTTGATTCCCCCAGGGAAGCCTATGCCGTGTCCCAGGGATGCTCGCTTGACCGCTTCCTTCTCCATCCCCACCATCCCTCCTCACCTCCCCACCATCCCTCCTCACAACCCCACCATCCCTCCTCATTTCCACTCCATCCCTCCTCACCTCCCCTCCATCCCTCCTCACCTCCCCTCCATCCCCCCTCACCTCCC